CCCCCCCATCCATGGCGATACGGGCTGCAAGCGCCGCTCCCACCCTTCATCAGACCCAGAGAGCGACCCCCGACTTTATTCAGCAGGTTTAGGCCGTTACAAGTCAGTACGTACAACATTAAAAATATCAGTTCCCCTAAAAAAAAAAAAAAAAAAATAAATTATATAACTCAAGGACCCCAAATGGCACCCTGCACCAAAAGAAGGTACCTGTGGTCATGAAACCTGGAGCAGGAGCCCCCCTAAATTAGATAGGAACATATTTTGGGCAGAAATGAAGCGTCCTTCTGTAGGAGTGGGCAGACACCACACATGGGGCATGGTACATCACACCGGATCCACGGGGCAGGGTAGGAAACAGTCACATCAACTGCCCAGCATCCCTCTTCAAATACACTCTTTAAATATCAAGGGGCTAGGGGTTTAGAAAGGTGGTGTGACATCACAGCTGACTATAGGATGTTGCTGTTGATGCCTGGGATCAGAAGTCACAGCCGTAGAGCAAACTCAGGTGGCACTTACATGAGACCAGGTGGAGGGGCAGAGATTTCTACAGAACTAAGCATTCAGCAGCAAGTTTCAAAAGTAAAGGGATTGACACAGCAGAGCAAAACTAGGATTTTTGGGGGGGGTGAAGGATTCACTGAGCTGGCCATGGTAGGGGGAAGGGGTTGTGTTTAAAAGGAACAAGCCAAAAGACAAACTGCAAATGCCAGAGGAGATCCAAAAGGTAAAGAGGACAAGTGGTGTGAACCCCATGAACTGGGATCTCCACCCTTCAGGAGCAAGTGCTCCAGAGTAACTTTTCCTCTCCCACCTGTTGCTGAAAGAGGCAGAGGCCAAGCTCACTCCTCCCCAAGAAAGGCCACTTGAGAAAGCATGCTTCCCCTCATGGGGGGAATGAGGGAAGTTGCAGAGGAATGAGACATTTCATTCCCAATTCTTAGCATAATTTTCTGAACTAAGAAACAAGGTGGAGAGAAATACAGAAGACCTCAGCAGGATGTGATACTGACTCTTTGGAAGGGAGATTTGGAGGCACTGCTGCTGCTCAGGCTTGTACAGAAACAGAAGGGAGAGAATTTCACCATCCTTTGCATTGAATGGGGCAACAGGAAGAACAGCTGTTGCCAATCCTTTTACAGCAGAACACTTTCCTGGTGTCTATCCCCAACAGCCTGGCTACCTGCCTCTTCCCTAAGCAGAGATTCAAGATTTTTAACTTCAGACTGCATTCATTTAGTTAATTCTAGATCCCTAACTACACAAAGGTCCCATCCCGGTCTTTGTCCGCTATGCACCCACCCCCCAGAGATGCAAATTGCCCAGATTAGGTCAATAGCAACATCCATTTTAAAAAACAGTCACAAAAAACCTTGATTGCTTTCTACAACACATGCTCTCCCCAACTCCAATACAGGATCCCATGGATAAAACATGATCCAGTCAGGTTTTTGGCTCTGGTTCCTCACACAGTTCCCCATATACTTTGCAGGTCAGTTTTTTTCCTGCTCCCTGCTGCTCTTCTCCCCAGGAGGAAAAGAGCACCGAAGGTTAACCCCCCAGGCACAGAAACAGAGGTACAGGAGCTGCCTACACACCAGTCTCATTTCTTTCACTGCTTTTGACATTAGGATCCTCTTGTACCTTTCTCATCTCCAGCCCTTTCACCCACGTGTAGGCAAAGGAACCCCCCAGAACCATCAAGTTACTTGTCCACCATAAGAAGCTCTTTGTCTCCTCAAAGTAGATAACAGCCAGCACTGTTTGGGCACAGGCCTTGGCTGTCCCAGACACGTTGTGGGTGAGCGGGCTAGTGAACTTAATCTGAAGTCCAGCCACATACCCAATGGCAAAGCCAAACACTCCCCCCAAGGTCATCATGCCCCAAAAACTGGGGCTCCCCAGCTTGTCGAACTGGTAGAGGGTGTGGAATTCGCCCATCAGTATCATGAGGGGGAAGAACAGGACGCAAGCATTGACGTTGTTGTAGAAAGTCAGGCGCCAGATGCTACCATCCACCACAGGCAGCACTTTCTTGGTGTAGATGGCATTGAGCGAGACACACAGACTTGCTAAGATCCCAAAGAATATACCTGTCCATGACAGAGTGCCCTCTGCTCCTTCCTGGTCAACACCCAGCCAGAAACCACCTGCAACCAAACAAATCAGACATTATCTGAACAACTGCTGAAGGACTCAAAACATACTGTCAGCAATTCATCATCTACCTTATGCTGAACAACCACAACCACAAGTGGAGACAGGCTTAAGGGCTTCCCCTTTCTATTAAGTGAACCCACAAAGCATCATGGCTAGTGTCCTGGGAAGATTTATTTTGGGAGTGCAAGTAGTTTACTGTGGTATCATTCAGTGTCAGAGGAGTGATTCCCAAACTGAGCAGGCAGCATGAGTTTAGAAACTATTATTCCAAAAAGCCATGAAGTTAAAGCTACTCTTTGTATATAGGTCATTTTCAGAAGGAGATCATCTGATTTTTTTTTAATTGAAAAGGCAGCCAACTGACACACAGGTAGTAAGAAATATTCCTCAATGTTTAAAAAAACAAACCAAAAAGCCTCACAGGCTTTGCTGCACTATTAACAGGAAGGGAAAGATAGGTCAGAAAAGAAGATGGAAAGATAGTAAACACATGGATGCAATATTAAGAAGCTTGATAAAAAAAATAATCACAAGGCAGAAACTGAGTGCAGTATATTCAACATGTTGAACTTCTTTGATGGGTAATGCAAAGGCAGCCAAAACCACCTCCAGAACAGGAGCTACAGGCTTTGCATCTCCAGGGCAGAGGGGAAGATCTCTCCCCATCCAGCTCATAAGCAAACCAAAATGGTAGATGAGCTACTGAAGGAGCACTGCACTGCCTCTCCGTTAGCTGCTTCATGTTGGAGGCTATCTGGGAAGTTGCCTGCAGAGCAGCTATCGTGCTTTAAATTAAGCCCAAATACAAATGGGTTCAACACACAGGCAAGAAGGGCTTTATGGTCAGGCTACAGAGGATGCTCGGCTATGCTGCTACAGGCACACAGGCAATACTCCCATAACAAAAGAAGATGGTGCCAGGGGGACAGAGTCTTAGAGAAACCCTGTAAGGCTGGCAGACCCCACAGTCCTGGGCAATATCTGAACACAAGACTAGCTGAAGGCAACTGCTTGCATCAATTGGGTGGAAAAAACAGTAATTCTGTTCCTGTTCACCTCTTCTATGGAGAGAAGATTCTCTTGTCTCATTTTCATCCAAATCCATCCACTTGTCTAAGCACCAAAGTGAACCCATGTCCACCTGGAACCAGACTGAAGTCAACATTTCACCATCCTTGGCATCTAAATGGCCCTCCAGTGGGAGGCAGCTTCTGGCATTACCGATGCCTTTGGAATGAAAGACTTGTAAACAATTCCCGTTAAGCCAGTCAATGCCCTGCCCTATGTCCTAACCACACAGCCAGACCTTCTGGTGGTGTTTTACACTTGGCTTCATCAGCTAACCCTTCATCACATGCATTCAGCCTGTCTGAATTGGCTGGTTCCATTGTATGGTCCCAATGGTGCTGACATAAATACTTATTGTTACCAAAGTTAATAATCAACAAGCATGTGAGAAGAGGGAGGAAGGCACCTGCTGTTTTATGGCCTTTGTGGGGGGGGGGAAAGGTAAGGCAAGTTAAACTTCATTAGAGAGCAAGCAAATTTTAGTGCTCAAAGGAAAAAGACAGCCGTGGTCAAGTAAGAGCAATTTGCCTTCTTAACAAGTTACCTACATGCTCCAGACAGGCAAAGCGGGTTGCCCAAGGCAGAGCAAGGCACAAGCCCTGAGCTACCTCACCAGGGAGCCACCATGCATGTAAGGGTGGCTTCCTGAGGGGAAGACACCCCATCTCCAGCTCTCTGAGTTAACGGGGCTGGCTGTGGGGTGGGTGCAGCCCTCTCCCTCTCCCCCTCACCTATGATGACTCCACAGGCCAGGAGGGCGTAGAGGGAGGTGGTCTGCTTGAGGAGCAGGTAGGAGAGCAGCACATTGAAGACGGTGGTGAGGGAGCGCCCCACATTGTAGAAGGCCACACCGACATACTTGAGGCAGAGGTTGTTGGAGGTGACCATGCCAATGAAGACGATGGAGAGGGGCAGGACGCTGCGGGACACCTTGAGGTCAAGGCGGAGGGTGGGCAGGCTGGAGCAGGGGGGCCCACAGGCCGCCCCCAGGCTGAGGCCCAGGCAGAGGGCAGCCGTCAGGGCACACTGGAAGAAGGTGACGAAGAGGGGGGCATCGAGGCGCAGCGAGGGGCTGTCCAGCAGGTACTTGTTGAGGAAGACCATGGCGATGGAGGTGAACCAGTAGAG